TTGGAACCCCAGACGCAGTGAGCACGCGTGCTCCAGCCGGAGCAGGATGCGTCCGAGAGAAATGAGTCTGTCTCGTTGGCCCGCTGGTCTCTGCTCTGTGACACCTTTGTAAGATCAATTGTCATCTGAGGCTATTCCCCCCTCTTCCATGGCCGTGGCCCTTTGGGGGTTTATAAAAGGAGAGAAAGAACAAGTCAACTGCCTGTAACTTGGGGAGGTTTTCTGCCTTTTTGTTTTTTAACCCTTGTGCAACCCAGGTACCACATGAGGACTAGGCAGTGTGGTGTCCTAAATCCACCACCAGGGTTGCCGTTTGGGGCAAGATGCATAACGCACAACAAACACTGTTCTCCCAACAGCATGGCACAGTCATCTTGCAATTTTAGCCTGCTCTCATCCCAACTCTGTGACCACGTGTGACAGATGACAAAACGGGGAAGATGGTGGGGAAATGGGGTAGTTGACCTTGCCGCATAACCCGAGTCTTAGGACATCCCATCTCATCGGCTCCTCCCCAGCCCTTTGGCATCTGTCCACTAGCACCAAAGGACCCAGGTATTACTGGACACCCTGGGGCCCCCTAACGCCAGGTTACATAGATCTTGCATGTCAGCCTGGGGAAGATGGAACATTCCAAGTCAGAAAGCTTGAATAGATTGTAGCATCTCTGCCAGAAAGGAGAGGAAACCAACCTGGAGGTCAGTCACCATGCTCTCCACAGGGCTGTCCCACTGCTTAGCATTTCAGCAGCCTGGCTCCTGGACGCTCCCCTCTCCCAGGGAGGCTTAGCCACAGTCCTCAATTCCTTTGCAGCTGCCCCAGGGGAGACAAGGCAGCCACGTGCTCCAGGCATCTAACAGGAATCCCTGCCTCCTGCCCACATCCTCCTGCCCCCTTTGTCATGGAACCTACCGGGTTGGTGTTTAGTTAGTGAGTGAGTGAGTCAAAATTATGGCCAGACACGGTGGCTCACACCTGTAATCCTAGCACTCTGGGAGGCCGAGGCAGGAGGATCAATTGAGCTCAGGAGTTTGAGACCAGCCTGAGCAAGAGTGAGACCCCGTCTCTACTAAAAATAGAAAAATTAGCTGGGGGTTGTGGCACATGCCTGTAGTCCCAGCTACTCGGGAGGCTGAGGCAGGAGGATCACTTGAACCCAATAATTGGAGGTTGTGGTGAGCTATGATGATGCCACTGCACTGTAGCCAGGGCAACGGAGTGAGACTCTGTCTCAAAAAAAAAAAAAAAAAACCCGCTATATAAGTGCTTATAAAACCGATGCCTGTGGGGTCCAGTCTTGGTGGTTTTATGATCGGTCCAGGACCTGAGAAACAATGGCAAAACAAGTCAGGTTTTTACTTGCATTTCTCAGATACTACGAAGGAAGCACTGGGACCACAACCGGCCTCATGCCCATCTCCTCTTGATGTTGCATCACAAAAGCCCAAAAAGCCAAAGCAGAGCTCTTCCTGGCAGGCAGGGAGGGGAAACCAGAGCAGAAAAAGGCAGAGCCCTGAGCAGAGCAGACGGAGGAAAGAAACGCCAGGATCTCTCAGGCGCTCACTGCTCTTGCCTCGCCCGCGGGGGCTGGGTCCCCAGCAAGGAGAGCCACGCCAGCCTCGTCTGTGGGTGCAATTTGCTCTCAGCCCTCAAGGAGCCCCAGGGTCAGGTGGGGGATGCTGACACACAGAGAGTGGTCGGTGCAGTCACAGCAGAGAGCACAGGACATTCAGCCAGCACAGGGATGGGGAGGGCTTCCTGGAGGAGGTGGCGCCTGAACTGAGCCTCTAGAAGAGGGGTGGGCAGGGCTGCCTGGGCAGAGGGAAGCGAGTCCTGGCGGGAGGCAGTGACCGGCAGTTTGGCAGGAGCTACAAGCCGTGTGAGCTGGAGGAGCCCAGGGCGGGACAGCAGATGCTGTGGACGCAGCTGGAGAGGCAGGCAGAGGGCTGGGACTTGGCGAGATCCTGGGGGGCGTGGGAGCCTTGAGAGAAGGTATAGCTAGGACTGTGTTTTCGCTGGAGCGTCCCCCGCTGGGCAGAAGAGAAATGACAGGGAAGCACCTGCAGGTGGGGCCCAGGCGGGACATTGCCCAGGAGTCCAGGCTGGAGGAGGTGAGACCTTAAGCCGAGCAACGTTGGTGAGGAGGTGACCGATTCAGGAACCGCTTAGGTGGTGAAACTGGCAGGACGTGAGGATGGAAGAGGGGCAAGAGCCACTTAGTCATCCGACCTTCATGACACATCCGCTGAGTGCCGGCCACCCTGCTAGAGAGGCCAGGGTTGGGGATCTCTTAGAGCTGAAATGGCGGTGGCCTGCTCCAGCCCTCTGGCTGCCTGGTTCTGTGACCTGTGACTCCCGTTGCTGAAAGGTGACATAGGCTGAAGGCATGAAGACTTTCCAGAAGGCTCTCGATCCAGGTGGAAGCTACCATTTCCCCTTCCTGTACCCACAGCGGGT